AACTTGTTTAAGAAAGAACCGATACTAAGAAAAAAGTATATTAAAGAATTAAAACAACAACAGCAACAAAACAAACAGAAACGCACGAAACATGACCAGTTATCCACTTTACAAGCAAATGTTAATAAAACTATATATTGTGTACCTTTAACCAATATTTTAGTTTTACCCGCGGGAAAATCGGCACTTTTATTGATGTTTTGTTCAGATAAGGTTGTTAAGATAGAAAGTGGATGAAAGCTGCATATTAAGAACAAAACACATGAAATAAGCGATCCTTATCAAATAAAGTTATCAATTACATTAATGTCATGATTTTTAAGCAAGATTATATGACACCATTTTACTGATAGAGCGCAATAAAGCAGAGTATTTTTTACAAACTTTATTAAGCCAGTAAAATATACCTTTTGATTAGAATAACAATTCAAATTGATATATTTTGTCCTTTATATTAGATTCAGCCCTGTTTAACTTAATGTCAGTTTAGTAACAGGGACAAATATACGCACATTTTGTGTAACTTAGAATAAAATAAATGGATATAATTGTAATGTGAGATAGCTATCAAACGGACATTCACATTTCTTTCTTAATTTTAAGTTTGCATCATCTATTATTTCTCTCGAAAGGATAACTTTAAAAATACAAGTTATTACTTGAATGTGTTGTATAATGAGACAATAACTTGTTGATCCTTTTATGTTTCATTTTAACAGTTCTTTGTAAGGCTGTTTAAACTACCTTCAAAGTGTTTGAACACATATAAAGCCCGACAATCTGTCGACAAATAATTTATACTTACACAAGCTATTTCTAATTTACTTCATGGAATATCAATATGCGGAAGAGAATAATTAGAATTACGTCTCCAAGCCTGAAACGTTTTGTTAAAAATAGCTTTGTAATTGAAAACTTTGAATTGACATTCATAGTGATCAAATTATGTAACATTTTGCATTTCAATCAACCGATATTTCCGTGTGTGTGGTGAAACTATCCATTGGCAAACAATTGAGTTGTGAAGTATTAACATGCGTTTTTGAAGTTATTTGCATGCAGTCATTTCCTCAAATAGTTTCGATTTGATTGTAAAACAATTTAAAGTCGACAAGAACATGCAACACAAACTAGATGTTCTTTTTGTTAAGGATGAAACACTAAGATAATATTTATTATGTTTCTGAGATAATTATTCTGTTATAAGTATTATTGTAAATTTCAGTGATATCAAATCTAGTATAGTTAAGGAAGTGTCAATCTTTTTAATCGTTTTAAGATAACTAACCTTCGACACCTGAGTGGTTTAAGCCGTTGATCAGCACCGTTGAATCTCGCTTCTCGCGAACAAATGTTGATTCTCTTCAGTGAGAAAGCTATCAAGCTTTAAGTCGGTGGTTCTATTCAGCTATTCGTTCCCGAAATAATGAAAGCAGGGAAACTTAGGCCTCCCCACTTGTACAATCGCCGTATGACCTTCGTAGCGCTGTTGGGTCAATCAGCACACTACCTGTTTGATTTTTACTGTATAAGGGGAGCAATATCCGAAATATAAAATTAGTCAAATGTCTTTTTTTCCCATAAATTAAATGTATATTGTGTTTGTTTTCCTTGATAACATACAATGAAATAGCTTACGTAATAGCCTTTTACAAAAAATAAAGTTTTTATTCATTTTTAAAGCTGTGTTTTATTTGATTAAAACAATCTGTTGTTATTGTTAACATGATTTAAACTCTAGAATCATTAACATCCACTTATGGGAACAAATGAAAACGAAATTCCCTTGTAAATATTTTTATCCATGAATCCCATTAAGTGGTAAGAACTCTATTCAAATTAGTCATATATTTTATTTTCCTCCGATTCATTTTTTTCTAACTAAGGTGTTCTCAATCTGTTGATGTTATAGTTGTTCGTTAAAGTTAAAAAATTAACAAGTTCCTATATTTATATAATATGACTGAAACTTCTCAATATTTTAATTATTTGTTACAGTTGATTATCCTGTAATAAGTTGATGATTTTTTCTATATTGCAGATAACTTAAAAGATAAGTTGTTAATTCGAAGAAAGTTATTTTCTTAAAAACACAAAACGGCTTGTTCTATTCGTCCAATATACATCAAACTTTTTAACAACAGATAATTATATGTTTTCAACTTCTAAATGCAGAAATTATCTAAGACATGACTATTGTTATGTTGTTTTTTGATCTGCATTTCGGGTCTAGTAAATTGGTTTGGGTGTTAATTGGAATGGAAAAAATAATAAATGAGTATTTTGTATGGAAGTCAAATCCTACTTTTTTCAAATATTGCTACCTTAACGACAAATAACTGAACATTTAACGCTAATTTCTTGAGTATTTAAACATGAAACATGTCCTAAAATCATTTTTTTTAACATTATTGAACTCTTGTTTGTCATTTCTCAGGAATTAACGTGGATGGAAGTAATGGTTTGTTGCCACAATTATCACAGCTATAAATCATTCATATCGATAATCCAATTGTCCTAGTTTTTTAAGGTCATGGTCCTCTGTGTTAATTAAGAAGAAGAAAAATGTTCATATGCGTGCTCTTGACTATAGTCATCAATTTCTTTAAACGATATAATTACAACAGAAACACGCACACATAGAGAAAGAAAAATCCAAAAGAGGGAATATTAACGTTCATATATTGTTTTGTTTGAGCTCAACTGTTCTGAATACAAACTTGCATCATGATAAAACACATCAACCATACAAATTTCAGTTCATTTTTTAATGTGCATTAAATTGCATTTGTTCACAACTTAAAGATCCTGTAACACAAAGTTTATGGTTTTATATCATAAATATGATGCTCAAATTAAGATTTGTTAATATTGTAAGTTCCAAAAAGCATTATTTATAAAGATATTACCAAATTTAAAATTTCATGTAAATAAAGAGAAGTGGATAAAAATTTATATTAAGTCTAAGTTAAATTTTTCAAAAGAGATGAATGCATATATTCAAATAATTACATATAATGTGCACAAATATGTGCAGTACATGTTTTACATATTTTGCGATGTTTGAAAGTTGTTTTAAAAGCATAATTATATACATATATAAAATTTCACTTAAGTGTGGTATAGAACCTCAATTATAATATACAGGATCTTTAATACATTAAATAATTGCATTTATTTACCATGTACAAGTGCATAGAGTTGATGGTACCGTTGTTAAAAACAGGGCTTTTACACTCATTATATTCTCTTGAAAAATTCAATATATTCAACGAAAACACCAGTGTATCCTGAAATGCCGTGATTGTATCCAGGTTTAATAAAAATCTTGTCATACTGTTATGTTATTGCAATGAAAATCATTCAGAAATTGTGCTGAACTTAATATACGTAATCAAAATTGTGTCCGGTCATATGACAACGTTTCTTAGCAATTAAACCAGGAAACACTCTAATATAAGATTAAAACAGTAAATATAGCATACGAAAACCTATGAAAATGTGCATAAATAATTCGGACAGTATAGGAGAGGTGTATCTATATTGTGAAATGACAATAGCTGATCAATCATCTGTATACAGCCAGAGTCGATTTATAATAGCTGACATTTTCAATACAAGGCTTTTGAAAAATCTATGTAAGATTTACGGTTAAACACAATAAATGTCAAATATACATAGCAGTGCACTTTGTTTACAATTTTCAAAAAAATCTCTTGTCTGATTTAAGTAACTGTTTTTATCTATAACCGTAAAAGCACAGCACTTATGCAAAGAGAAGGAAGTTGTATATGATTTGCTTTTTGTTTTTAATCTAAAAAAAATACATTATCGCAATACAACCTGTACAATTTATGTTCATATAGATATTATTTAAATGGCAGTCTTATTATTTTCTGGGCTAGCAATAATAATAGTACCCTTTGTTTTGTCATGAAACGCTGTATGCAACCATTTTCATAATCATCAACAAGGTGTTCTTATTGAAGATCAGTGTGTAAAAAAGCCAACCGTCTAGGAAATAAACGGCAATTAAAAAAACACCATGATTTGATCTGTAGGCTCATACAGTTAGTCTCGTCTTAAAAGGTTCAAATCTGATGATTGTATACCGATGAGAACTGTTATATTGATATCCAGACATTTCACTGCCTTGCCAATTTCTGGAAGTATAAAGAATCGCTTTTTACATACCTCTGTTTCAAATCAACGTGGTACTTATTTCATTCATTATGCCATTAAAATGACAGATATAATATTATAGTTTAAATATTATTAAGGAAAGCATAACTAGGTAAAGATACCTAAAAATGTAAATGCAGTATATGTAGTTCAAATCATTTTCAGTATTACAAAAAAATGTAAGGTTTATTTGATCAATACAGAAATGCTAACGATTTTATTAAAGTTATAATTTATATAATGGCATTGTTTGAAGCAAATTGCTGAGGTTGGGTGTATTGATGTTGGGAATCTTCTGCAAATAGTTATAAAATATCATAGATTAGTAATAGCAAACGATACCACACATTTTGAATGTCCTAAAATAGAAGCGTGTACTATAAACAGTATATGATACAGATTTAGTGGGTAAATAAGATCAGTGTCACAGGATGCTTAAAATTTAAATAGATATAAAAGATATGTACATAGTACATGTCAAGATAAAAAACGGTTATCTTACCTTGATAATGAAAATTTGGAACTCTTCTAAAAGAACGTTACATGATTGTAAACACACGTAATCGTATCAATTGTTCATAAACTCCAGACACCCTGAGCAGACGAATTTTTAGTTACGTCCTGATTTCGATGAAAAAACTTTACCTCATGTTTTTATTCACGCTAAGTAAATAAGAAAACTACTCTTTAGCAAAGAATGATTTACCTTGTAATGATATGTCGCACATGCAAGTGTTAAAATTTGATCAATAATACTACAATGTAAACCTAACATAAGGTTATTTCAAAATCAATTTGAAACTAAGTTCAGATGGTTTAATGTCGTTTATGCAAACATGTATATGTTTTGAAGGGGTAAAGTAAAATATCTTAATATTGTTCTTACATTATGTACAAGATTTATGTAAATTTTGAATTGTAAAAATGTAAAAAAGGGAAAGCAGGTGAAGAGAAAACTTTAAGTATGTCAACTATACAACGTGTGAGCTATATATACAAAATTTGGTTTTCCACTTTCGGTTTAGGAAAAAAGCAATTTCCAATATTTCGGAATCAAGTTTCTCTTTTAAAAAGAGAACAGGTCTTTGTTATAATTAAACGGATTTCTTAAAATCGTAACTGACATTTACAGTTAAATTTCATACAGATGTTTATGTATTTTCAAAAATAAGTAAATAAACAAAATGACAGATAATGCTACAGGGATTGATGCAGGGTCAAGTCGAGATGACCATGTAGATGCCGACAATATTACGATTGATTGTGTAAGTAACAATACTGTATACATATATGTATGAAGTTTCAGGTCATCATTTTGCTTAAAATGTAACGTTTTGTTATTGTTATGATTTTCGGTGATATTCAAAAGAAGGTAATAATGCTCAACAGCTAGTATATATAATAAACATAATTAAAATGTTATTGTTCTATCATAGCTCATCTTCTATAAAAAAAAAAGTTATTTTTAAAATAGTTTTGAAGTATACGGTTTAGACTTATTCCTGAAATTGAATGCAAGATCGATCAAAATAGCATATAATTGATTGTGCACCCCTGATAGCTGATTAATTTTTTTACTGCTATGAGAGGGATTTTATATATAGTCTATCTAGGCTTCACATCAGGAAATAATACATGCATTTAATAACATTTCCCGCTACCTATATCCTTAACGTATATAAACCTTATTTCGATAAAATGGTAAATAAGATATTCCAAGTGAGCTTAAATTGAATAAGACTATCTCTTCAGACGTTATTACATCCTTTTTAGATTTAACCATTTCTAACATTAAAAAAACTGTAGTAACTAAAATCTACGATAAAAGAGATGATTTTAATTTTAATAAAATTAATGTCAACTATCCACATTAAGGTGGAGTTGTACCTCATGGGGTATATATTTCTCCAAATAATTATATATGCTAGGGCGTGCTGTAGTGTTGATGATTTTAATGAACGCATTTTATAATGTTTCCCAAAAATTTCGGGGCAGCATATAGTCGCCGAGTTGTCCGTTCGTCCGTCAGACAGTCCGTACGTACGTCCCGAATTCGTGTCCGGCCCATAACTTTGTTATTTGAAGTCGGATTTTACAACTATTTCACAGAAATGATCACCATATTGAGGCGACGTGTCGTGCGAAGCAATTGGGTCACTACCTTGAAGGTCAAGGTCACAGCATGACCTTGAAGCAAAATCGTGTCCAGCGCGTAACTTCGTTATTTGTAGTCGGATTTCATAACTATTTCACAGAAATGATAACCATATTAAGACGATGTGTCGCGCGCAACATTAGGGTCGCCACCTTGAAGGTCAAGGTCACAGCATGACTTTATAAGAAGTCGGATTTTACAACTATTTCACAGAAATGATCACCATATTGAGACGACGTGTAGCGCGTAACATTTAGGTCGCTACCTTGAAGGTCAAGGACTCAGCATGACCTTGAAGCAAAATGGTGTTCGGCCTATAACTTTGTTATTTGAAATCGGATTTTACAACTATTTCACAGAAATAATCAACATATTGAGGCGACCTGTCGCGCGCAAGTCTCATTAAGTAGATGTGCGGTGCAAAGAACAGTAGATCTGCATTGCCTTAGTTTGGAATTATCACACTTTGAACTTTGTCTAGGACATACCTCTGAAACTACTTTACTGTGTCCAAAACCTAGTCGGGGAGCATCATCCGGTTTAACCGGCTCTTGTTTATTACTACCACGCTTCTTAAACAAAATAGATAAATACAGAATCCCTAAGGCTATTGCTATCATAAATTGCATAAATATAAGTTTTACAATCGTAATTCAGATTTAGTTTTAAAATTTAATTGTAAATTTAAATTGAAAACTCTTTTAGGTATTAGCAAACCTATGGTGTTGTAGTTTACACACTTCATAGGAGCATGGGTCATAGTATTGTTTCTGCTATCTTCACTAAAATTATCAAACGGTTTATTAAGGAGGTTATGATCCGATTTTTTTTAAGCATACCGCATGCTTGGTCTTCAACCATTTTACAGATGGAAGCTACGCTTTCCTCTTTTAATTACATCTGACGGACTAAGTGGGATACTCTATGATGGACAGCTTTGAAAGCCCTTTCGGACTTAATTGTCTTAATGTTCGTCTTCTGTCTTGCTACGTCGGGCCCTTCTAGGTGATTTTCTTGATGCTCTGCCTTCCTTTAAGGCACCGAGTACTTTGCTTATGATCATTTTAAACGAATTTACACAATCATTTATGTGGTTTATTTATTTCATCTAATGCAACCATGACCATTCTTAGCATTTCACTTAGCGGGGATTAATTTCATTTACAATTTCGTGTCATTTAGGAACTTTTTGGGGCTAAGAGTAAGGTTTGGCGCGCCTAAAATAATATATTATGATAAACAAGATCAACAAGGAAATGCGGCGTTCAATGAACGCAAGCCCCACACAACAAAACCGGGTTTACCCCTCTGTTTTCCTTCACGTGTTTTTCATGTCTGTATTGTAGCTTGTTTTGAATGTTTACATGTTTTGTGATGTCTGTCTTGTTGGATTGTATTTGGCGGTAGGTATTTTCTTACCCCCCCCCCCCCTCTCCCATTTTTTTATATCCCCCTTTCACCTTTACAGCCCTTATCATGTAAGTCTCATATGGCCCTGATTTAGTTTTTTATTATTTCACGTTATACGTGCCCCTCTACTTTCGCCACCATTGTGGTCACTTCTGGTTTGGGTTTAGTGCCTTCTGGGTGCCTTACTTGGATGTGTCGGTGGCTGCGTCCTCTGAACGTTTTTTATTTTTTGAATAATCCAGTTACAAATCATGTTTGAATGCTAAATTATGTTCGGTTTAGATATCGTCATCTGTGTGATAATATACGTCTGAAACTATAATATACTTGATGATCAATTTGCAAATGGCCTTCACGAACGTGTATGATATCGGACCATCTTACACATTATAACAAACTGCGCAATGAGAGTAGAATACTGTACATTTAAACAAATTGATTTCAAGTCAGTTGCGTGTATATCATAATAATGGCTAATCTCAACACAAAAATCCTTGGTAAACAAGTGTAGTATTGACAGTTTTTGTAAATACATACTAATTCACAGTGCGATATGAAATATATTAATATGATTAAACAGTTATATTTATTTGGAACAGGATAAAGAAATCACTCCCCGTTTAGTAATAGCCATCAAATTTGGGACATATGCTTGTAGTTATGCCTTGCAATGGAGATCCGACTATGAAAACGCAAACTGCATCGAAAGCATCAAGGTTCCAACACATTGTTCATCATTCGGATTTTGTACAAGAAAGACGCCTTCTTATTTACTACTTAAACCTGATAAAAGCATTGCCGAGTTTGGGTACAAAGCTGATTTTCAATTCAGCAAAAATGAGTCACTTCCTGAGAGAAAGAGACCAAAAGACTGGAAGGACTGGTATTTCTTTCGCTTTTTCAAGATGCGACTCTACACTGGGGAGGTATGAATATATATCTGACTAGTGAACAATAAAAATAGAAAATAATTAACGAAAAGCATGTTACAAAAGATAATTTGTATCATTTTGATAATAAGATAAATTTGGGAAAAAAGGTAAACCCACACGGAAGCAGTGAAACAAACTTTTCCGATTTTCAATCTTAAACCGATCGGTGCATCATAAATATTGCACACATGTTTTGATTGAGACTGTTCCGTCAAGCTGTATCCCTGTCCAAAATTTGATTAAATCTCTTAGATTTAGTAGATTTAGAACAAATTGTTCTCAAAAATGACTGCCTTAGATATTTAACTTCCGTAAGGATTAATTCCATTTGATTGTTAGCTTCTTTTGTTCAATGTCAGTTTGTGTTCCTGTGCAGGAACTCACAGTAGATACTACGATGGAAGCCGCAAATGACAAACATTTACCAGCAGTTGAAGTACTGGCAAAAACAATAGAGTACCTGAAGAATGAAACAATAAATAAACTACGAGAAGACGGTTGTGTATATCCAGAAGATGTAACGAAATGGGTGATAACTGTTCCTGCTATTTGGAATGACTCAGCTAAACATGTGATGCATGAGGCGGCAGAAAAAGTAATAATCTAAGGGCTTGAACATGAATCAGAATAAAATCTGCTGCATATGTTTTATCTTACTGTATTATTCATATGATGTTTATAATGAAGTTATGATCAAGTTAAATTGATTCAATTAAATAAATGTATTCATTTTTAATTAGCTTAAATAGATAGATAACTATTTCCATCTATTTACCAGGCTGGAATTAATGGGAGAAACTTGTCAATAGCTTTTGAGTCTGAATGTGCTGCTTTGTATTGTACGAAAGTTCCTCTTGAGAAAATCAAAAACGCCACTGGCAATAATGAAAGGACAGAATTTGCAGCTCCTGGTCAAACACTGATGATTGTTGACATGGGATGTAAGTTATATGGTTCATTTTTCATCGAATGACCTTTCATTTTGCAATGAGCTCGGGATCAATTGAATATGTGCATAGCATTGTGACACAGCATTTAAGTATCCTACAATGCGTCATGACGATCTCTCTTGTTTTTGTTTAAGAAATAATATATCCCAAACTGTGATTTTATCGCTCAATAACATCACTGTTTGGAGTTCGGATGCGAGGAATTATATCACGAGGGCGTAGCCCGAGTGATATAATGATGCGCATCCGAACGACAAACAGTGATGTTATCCAGTGATAAAATCACCGATTTGGATATATTATTTCGATTCTAACACGACATAAACAAAAAAATGCTGCCGTACCTGCTATTTTAAGCAAAATTGCGCCTGGTTTGTTTCCGTACTAATTGTCAGCGCGTCGGATTTTATAGTGGTTACGTCACATGTATAATGATTACGTCACATGTCTAAATATAGAGCGTCAAACAGTGACTCTATTGCATAATAACACACACTTTCGGTTCTTCTATGTTCAATAGGGAAAAATGCGGGTCGTGTTAAAATACGTTTTAGAGACATTATTTTATTCATAGAAATATACAAATCTCCCACATTTTGCTATGAAATAGTACATCTTTGTCAATTGTTACAAATGTTACACCTTTTTTCAGAATCGTCAATTATTGTACTGTGAGTGTTTTAAAAGACTGACTCTTGCTGTAATCTGTGATTTGTTTTTCTCTTAAATATTCTTTTGATCAAACCGTTTACGTATTATTAAATATAAACTATCATTTGGTCTTCCATTTACAAAATACAAAATTCTTTTTTGACTTCCAACTATACATGTATTATGTCAGTGTCAGTGTACGTGCAATTGTGTTTGTGTACATGTATGATTGAATGGCCTTGATTTATACTGAGGAAATCCGTTTATACAAATGACAACAAAAGCAAATAAAAAGCGTAGCGTCTCATTCACACCCTTGCACCGAACACAGCGTTCTTTATTCTTGTTTTTTATTAAAGATATTTGTATGGTCCTCATGTTTCATAACTGCATTATTTTTGTCCGATAATTCTACTTATCCAAATCATATCTAAATTGTAATTAAAATATGACTGTAAAACGTTTTTGTTTCATGTTTAAGGTGACACTGTTGATATAACAACGGTAAAAATAAATGAGGACAAGACAATTCAACAGGTTTACAAATCATGCGGAGGTCCTTGGGGTGGCAAAAAAATCAATGAAAAATTTGAGATGTTTTTGGTAGAATTGATTGGAGCAGAAACAGTCAGAGCATTTGTTGAAAAGCATGAAATTGACTACTACAATTTGCGAATGGATTTTGAAAGCAGAAAAAGAGAGGTATTACTGATATATATATATATAATACATATTATAATATTATAATCATTGGCTGTAGACATTAACATTAACATGAATTTTTTTTAGATGTATAAACTGCGTATTTGATGATGTTACTTAAAGTTTCAAAAACATAAAAAAACTTATCTTTGTTAGTCAAAGTAAGGAGAACACTGTCATCAAAAACTATTTTATTGCATGAAACAATTGTGATATTTTATGTTTATCTCCTTTCTTGACTATTGCTTGCTTTAACAGATGAAAGGGTCAGATGATCAAATACCAGTCAAACTCCCAGATTCACTCCGACAGTTATGGGAACGTGCAGAAGGTAAAGAAATCGATGATATTCTTGAAGAAAAGAAAGGTTTTGGAGAAATTGAATATATGACAGGGCGGTTATTCTTGGAAGCTAAAATAATCCATGTTTTTCCAAGAAATCATCGGTGGCTTACTTAAATACATAAATGAAGAGGTTTTATCAGAGATGTGCAATGTTTCAATTAACTCAATTATCTTGGTTGGTGGATTTGCTGAATCAAGTTATGTAATGCAATATATGAGAGAAAGTCTCCGATCTCACAATATTCCTGTAGTGAGGCCGCACTTACCAGAATTAGCCGTATTGAATGGTGCTGTTCTGTTCGGTCAGAATGAAAAGATTGTAAAGTCAATAATTTTGAGGCATTCTTATGGAATTGCAATGACAATGGAATTTGTTCCAAACAAACACAAGGAGGACGAGAAATATGAATTAGATAATATGATAATGGCAAACAATGTATTTAGAAAGCATGCCACTATCGGGCAAACTGTTCCAATTAATGAATGGATTTGTTCAAAGGAATATTACCCAGAAAATGAGAGAGACAGAAAAACTACTTTTTTTATTTTCACATCTGATTCCGTAGATCCTGTTCATACAACAGAAAAGGGTTGTAAATATATAGGCCAGGTTGTTGTAGATTTCGGATATAACAGTGATTCTACTATGAGGAAGGCAGTGAAATTGGAGTTCAAATTTGGGGCGACAGAGCTCAAAGTTAGAGCCGTTACTTCGACCTCCAGCAAACAACACGTCAGCTATTTTAAATTACAATGAACCCTATCCCTTACTTGACTCATTAGAATGTTATTATTACATTAGTTTTCAACCAAATTGAACGAAGAGACGGTCTTTTTTAACTGAAGAACTATAAAAACGAAAAGAGTAAGCATATAATTGTTGTAGGTGCATGTTTGTAGTATTTTTGGTTCCTTCTATTCGAACCTTTTCTAGTTTGGTGTTTCCAGTATTCGTACTTCTTGAATACTATAAAATGACCCTTTTGATATGGTACCTGCTTTTAAAAATTTGTCTTTTGACGTTTTCTTTGTCATATGCAGATGCAGGCTTCATAACCTCTGATACCCTTTCAAAATTCCATTTTGTTTAGTTCCGCCCATTGTTTTCTCGTTTGGGGCACCTGCATTCTTTAACTTGGTGACCACACGCCATTTTACATGGAATGACCGTGTCAAGTTGAAGCTTCCATGATAACCGTCGTATGAACACATGTGGATGTTTCTAAATTCAAAATGTCACCATTTTCATGTTTAAATGTTGCATTCTGCTTAAGTCTGTAGTAGGGCTACCTTGCACTTTCCAGTACCGTCCATGAACAGAATCAACCGAACCGAGCCTGCAGTAGTTTTCAATTTTGTCCTTTTGGAAGTTCTTAAGGGATTCTGCCTTTCTCTATGCATACAATACAACAGTTTGCATACTGTTTAAACCTGTCAAACTGACATGATCATATCAAACATACAATTCATAAACAACCATTGGAAACATTTTATTTTTATGATTAATTGAATGTTGTGATTGTGTATGATTTGACTTGCACAGTAAAAAGTCAAAATACATGTATTTACGGAAGAAAAGCAACAATTGATAAATTTTATAATCATTTATATTTTATTTTCGATTGAATGAATTCTTTGTAATTAGTATGGTACAATTTATTCTCCTTTTGGTAAGGTTTTACGTCGCACCAACGCAGTAGTTTTTACATGGCGTCCATTATTGAGGCAAGAAGGGTGATTAAATTTATCTCTTTAATTATTTTCTCAACTGAATATGAATAAAAAAGACGGACACTCGTCCGGTTTGCATGTCTTTTTGGAGTTATTGTAAACAAAATTTGGCAAATCTTCTGATGAAATATACAAAAGTCAAACAGTCTTCTTTCAGCTTTTATGCCACCGCAGCATCTGCGATGCGGTGGCATATAGCGATTCGCCTGTGTGTGTGTTTGTATGTATGTATGTATGTTTGTGTGTTCTATAGATTATATAGTGAACTTAAAAAACTTCTTGTGAAAAACCAATATTATAGTTCAATTTCAACCAAACTTGGCAAGATTGATCCTTGGGTAAAGGGTTTCCAAAGTTGTTCAAAGAATTTCATTCCATGCAGAAAGCTGGTTGCCATGGCAACCAAAAGGAATAATAAGAAGAAATTTAAAAATCTTGTAAAGACCAACAAGGCCTAGAGCATATATCTTATAAAAACTTAAAAAACCTTCTTGTCTGAAGGTACAAGGCTTATAGCTTTGATATTTGGTATATGATATCATCTATAGGTACTTTATCAAAGTTTTTAAAATTATGCCTCTAGTGTCAAAATTAGCCCCGCCCCGGGTCATAGGTTTCCTTTGATGTATATAGTAGAATCTTGAAAACAATCATCTTCTCGAAATTGACAAAGACTAGAGGTTAGATATTTTGCATGATACATAGTGTAATGAACCTCTACCAAGATTGTTCAAATTATAGCCCTGGGGTCAAAATTGGCCCCGCCCCGGGGGTCATTGATTTTCACTATGTACATATAGTAAAAAAATAAAAAAATCTTATTGTCTGAAGGTACAAGGTTTAGAACTTTGATATTTGGTATATGATATCTTCAATAGGTACTCTACCAAAGTTGCCTTTAGTGTCAAAATTAGCCCCGCCCCGGGGGCCATAGGTTTTCCTTAATATATGTATATAGTAAAAAGTTTAAAAAATCATCTTCTCTAAATTGACATATGCAAAAGGTTAGATATTTTGCATGAAACATTGTGTAGTAAACCTCTAGCAAAACTGTTCAAATTATAGCCCTGGGGTCATAATTGGCCCCACCCGGGGGGGGGGGGTCATTGATTTTCAGTCACTATGTACATATAGTAAAAAAATTTAAACCATGTGCACAGATTAAGATGTAAAGTGAACTTTGATATCAGCTGGCCTTACTGTGTTATACTTTGATGTACAGTCATGGAATTTGGCCCATGTGTAATATGACCTTCACCACCAAATTCACTAGACTTAACTGCATTGATAGATTCCTACTTTGATCTTTTATTTAAATAACAATAGATTTAACCACTAATCTGATAATAAGAATTAGATAGGTCAGTGATCTATGCATTATGGCAATCTTCAATTGTATAGAAACAAAAAAAAATCTGTTCCTACATTACTATTTTGTGTTGTACATGTATAAATGCGGTGGTATAGCATTTTTCACAAATGCAATCTTGTTTAATTATATAATTACAGGAACGTAACTAAATATGATAATCATCATCAATTGAATTGTTTCTATGAACGGAATAAGTCGAATCTGAGATTATAATACATGTATATGCAAGCCTAAATATATAGATTCTTACGCTGCCATACTTTGTCGAAATAGACCTAGATCTATCAAACACAAAGTATGTGTGTACTATTGAGCTAATTTCAATTGCTTTGTAATAGAAAGCGCATCGAGACACTTGGCTGTCTGATTTGTACGAGGGGGCGTAGCACCCCCCCCCCCTTCCCAGAATATAAATCAAATTGCCAAGTGTGCATGTGTGTGTAATTTACCAATAACTTACTGATTAGTGAAAAACATGTATATTTCAATAAATGAATGTATTTGCTTTAACTTATTACATTTTATTATAATATGCATATATTAAACTTTAATCATACTGATGAGGATGTTTATGATCTACAATCCAATAGTCACGTGATCAGTAAGGGGTCCCAACACCCTTGGTGTTCAATATACAACGGCTTCCACTGGCAGTACATAATATTAAATACGATTTTGAGTGTGTGACATTCTGAGCAATTAACGCTCTCATCTGTGAAAAATATATTAAAGATACATTGATTTTTTATTACTATTACAAATCAAACTTACTAAAAAAATCCTACAAAAATATTCAAATAAATAATAAAAATAATCAAATTAACAAATTAAAAACGTACTGTTGTTATAATCAGCTACACTGCGCTGACTGCCTTGTCGGTAGTCACATATTTTGCTTATATATTATCATTCATGTGTGTTTACTTGGTTAAATATGAATATCTTTAACATAACGTTTATTTAGTCATTGAGAAAATTACAACTTAATTATAATAAACAAATATATAATTTTAATACTTTATATCAAATTTCAATTATAATACTATATAATGTACAGTAAAGTAATATCACAATGACAAATATACGGAACAAAATACTGTTATAAATTTAAGACTAAAACTATTCGTCATTGAGAGACAGCCAGTTATTTCTTTATCAAAAATTTCTGAATATTTCTAGTTTGATTAAAACTGATTCATATATTCATAAAATATGACATTCATGAGAAAAGATATTCTCAAATCACGACACAAAAAATAGTTAACTCAAGAAAATCATATTGAATAATGTCCGGGGAAATTCATGTTTAAATCAACTTTGAAAACATGTTTAACTTTTTTAGCCACATACTTATGTTATAATAAGATGAATTAAGCACCAAAGTTAACACATTCATTTTACCAATATGATTTTCTGACCATTAAATGGAAGCAAATTAATAAATTATTGTTAATTTGCATGTGCAAATTCCGGCATCCTTTGTTTTAGAAATAAACGGATATCTTTCAATGTATATATACTCTGACGCATACAATTAAAGATGGTGTAGGGTATTATTAAATGTTCATAGTATGTTATAATAACGCGATACAAAATCATTTTCATTAAAAAAAGCCAGACGAGAAAAAACATATAGATTGAAAAACTTTGATTCACTGCAGATCTCAAGAGATTATTCGCAGGATTACAGGAGTAGGTCTGTTGTAACATAGACGTATAATCAAGAGCAGCTAATTTGCTTGTTTTGACGTTTGATTCCCAAAAGTATATTCCCATTATATGTATAGACATGTTAATATCTATAATCTAGTTATAACATTTTTCGACTATTTGTGCCTGAAAAAGCATTGAATCAGAAAATAAATCACGATTATTTGTTTCATGTAATGTTATATTTGATTTGTTAAAAATCTGTTCATTTTCTGTAACCTATGTTTAACACACTAAATAATTTGTTCCAGAGCGTAATACAATGTTGTTTCGCCTTCTATGCTCATTCATTATGTACCAGAAACAATAACAAAAATATAAAATAACGTCACTCTGATTGATGCAAACTGCTATATAAATGATGTATTGCATAATTTATTCAATTTCCTTTACATACAAGTTGTTGTTTTGTTAGTCTTTAGATTTCAATATTAAATTCCACTAATCTAGCCAAATAAAGATAATTTGGTACGTACAATTCGTATACTTAATCAAATTGTTTAACAAAGAACATTCACTTAGAAAAAAATACGCAATTTATTATTTGTGTTGTATCATTAGATAACATCTTGTCGATATAATCCTTTCATGTTCCATTTAAGCAGTTATTTATTAGGTTGTTTATTAATAAATTAACTTCAAAATGTTTTAATATATAAAGTCAGACGATCTGCTGACGAATATTTCAAAATTGCAAGAGTTATTTATAAATTACTTCATGGAATATCAATATGCGGAAGAGAATGATCAGAATTACGTCTCCAAGCCTTTATCATTTAAAAAAAGCATTTTAATTGTCATTAAATGTTATCGAAAGTTGTTAAATTCTTTTTTATACCGATCAACCGATATTGCTGTGTGAGCGCTGAAACAAAGGAAAGGGCAAACAATTGTGTTGTAACGTATTGCTTAAACACCATAGCTGTTCCATGTTCACAGTCATCGTCTTAAATTTAGTTTCGATTTGATTGTAAAACGATCAAAAGGCGACAAAAAATAAATATGTAAAACAAACTGGTTGTCCTGTTGCCTAAGGATGACAAAATGAAATTATATTTATCATTTTAACCTTATTTGAAGTTTATTTTACAGTTGATAGTGCCTGAAAAAAATTGATGCAATTTTCTTTATTGCAGATAAGTAAACAATACATTGTTAATTCGAAGAAGGCTTTTTGTATAAATATTTTGAAGTATTTATACAAAACGGCTACCTTTTTTTATAATATACATAGTTTTACAGTTTTTTTAACAATAGATAATAAAACACTTCGATATGCAAAAATAATCTAAGACATGGCTATTTTCGTGTATTTTATCTGTATTGCGGGTAAAGTAAATAAATTTGATTGAGTATAAGGTTGTCTCTGACTATTTTTGCTCTGTCAGCAATTCGTATACAAAGAAAGAATGAGTATTTAGTATGGAAGTCAAATATTGATACATGTACCTTTACGACACATATAACACGTTTAGAGCTACTTGTTTGGGTATTTAAATATCTAAAATGGTCCAAATTCATTATTCAAACATAAATGTTACTATACACATTTCTAAAGAATGAAACATATGGATTTCTGAGGCACAATGTGCCTTTAAAACAAAATGATAGGCAGGAGGGTTGTCTAAACTGAATAAATGTAGAGATATGTTTACAAAATAACCACAGTCACAAATCATTCATATCGATAATCCATTGTTCGTATAAAAATTTCTTTTTAAGTTCACAGCCCTTTTTGATTATTAAAAAGAAGCAGAATGCTGGTATGCGTGACATTAAATGTTGTCGTTAATTCTGAAATGATATAATTAAAATGAAACACACCCAAATAGAGAAATGAAAATTCAAAAGAGGGAACATTAACGTTTATATGTTTTTTTTTTTTTGTTTTTTTTTTCTTTGTTATTTGAGCGTAAATATTCTGAATACAAACTTGCAACAGGATAAAGCACATCAACAATATGGGATTTAAACATTTACGTTGAAAATAGTGTGCTACTTTATGTATACAAAGTATAATTACGATAATTTCCAGAAATGTTTTCCCTTCCAACAATATTTTATTGCCGTCGAAATACCAAACGATATAAAAATGTAAGCATACACTCGTTATGTTGTCTTAAAAGATTCAATATATTCAGTATGAGCACTCGTGTATCCTTAAATCGAGTTGATTGACATGCCGTGATTGTATCCAGATTTAATTGCAATGCTGTCATACCCTGTTATTGTAATGTATATATAAAATACATGATTGTCACCCTTAACATGAACATTTTGAAACAAAGTATTCCAACAAAATGGAATATTTGATACATATACGTATATAGGATTTTACTGTACGGATTAAAAGAACTTCAAGGAAAAATGTCTTCGTTTAATGCCATGAAGTGTCAAAAAGTATGTTTTCTTTATGTTTAAACAATGATTGAAAAGAAAGAATTAATAAGAAACTGGTAAATGAGGAAACTGGCCGCGATAAATGTTTTTTATTTGTTTTTGTTGAAAAAAATCATTGCATATTATTGTTACTATCTAATGATGCATACATATAAAAGAAATAAAAGATGTTACAAGTAATCACTTTCTGTAAAATAATTCATTCTGTTATTTGCATCTATCCTAACACAAAGAAATACGCTGTAAATGCTGAACAATAGCATTTCGTTATATAAAAAATTTGAAAGGTCATATGGCAACGTATCTTAGCAATAAAACCTGAAACACTCTAATATACAATACGATAATAAAGGAGGGTGTTTAACCAATGAAAATGTGCATAACTTATCTGGAGAGTATAAGAAAGTTGTATCTATATTGTGAAATGTCAATAGCGGATCAATCATCTGTATACAGCCAGAGCCGATATATCATAGCTGACATTTTCAATTTTAGGCTTTTGAAAAATCTTTTTTAAACACAAAAAATGTCAAATATACATAGCAGTGCACTTTGTTTAAAAGTTTCAAAACATCTCTTGTCTGTCATAAGAAAAGCAACGTGTCTGATTTAAGAAACAGGTTTCAATCTATGACCGTATGTAACTTTATAAGCACTTATGCAAATAGTAGGACGTTGTATATGATTTGCTTTATGTAATTTATATCTAAAGAAAAAACAATATTTATATTATTGCAATACCAACTCTACAATTTATGTTCTTATGGATATCATGTTAATGGCTGCCTGATAATATTCTTGGCTACCGATATGTTATTCTAAGTACCGTTTGTTTTGTCAGGAAACGCTAGAATATGCAACCATTTTTTATAACAAAACATAAAGACAAAACCACCAATTAAAGATCAGTAACTAACATAGCCAGACTGTCTAGGAAATAAACAGCTAATAAAACGCCATGATTTGTTTATTTATAAATTTTTTTATTTCTTTTTCTAATTTCCAGACTATTAAATTAACGATACTTTAGTTTTGTACAAACTGTGTAATAACTAAGGTTCTGTTTAAGTACTAAAGTAATATCATTGACATATTTAATACACATTCTTTATGTCTGATCCATAACATATATCTAAAATAAATAAATAAACAGATAAATAATTAAATAAAAAAAGTAAAATAACAATGCAACAAACAATGAATAAAAACAACGAAGAGAATAGTAACATTTTTAATGTTTTTGGTTGTACTTTGTCAAAATTAGAAAGTCTATACATTCAAATAACGTGTGTGCAAAATTTCCGATCATGCGCTCACTCCGTTTCTCCAAATTAATCATTCTATTTGTGAAGTAAAAACCTTTGCAACTCTTTTCACTGAAATCAGACTAAAACTAAT